CCGACCCACAACACAGTCTGATTGCCACGCAGATTCACTAGGAGGCATATAAAATACGGCCGGACCGTCTAGTACGTGGCCACCTGCGGCTCGTGCGACTTCCCTACAGCGTGGCCGGGCCGCGGCGGCCATCACAGGACGCGGCACACCGCCGGGGAGGCGCCGCCGGCCCGCCGCCGACGCCTACTTGGAGCCGTCGCTCTCCTCCTCCGAGTCCTCGTCGTCGTCATGGTGATGAGTCAGGCGGCGCGGCATCTCGGGACGCGTCAGCGTGTGGGACCGCTCCAGCACCTGGTGCAGAGGCAGCCAGATCACACTCCTAGAACGAGCCAGGCTGCCTTCTTCAGGCCATGCGGGGTTGCTCAGATCTGTGGGGACTATTCAGAGTAATGGTTTGTAGAACAGCGCCGCACCTGCCAGCGGGACATGGTCGGTGAAGCTTCCTCGGGGCGATGACTTATGCAGCTGCACTAGCATCTGTAAAAGGAGTTCCGGTCACCGCAGGGCTCGCTGCCCTGCACTGAGCCGACCGCTGCGACGCCTGCGGGAGGCGCGCTAGGACCAGAACACCCATGTCACCAGACGGCAGACCGTGCGCACGGCCACGTGTCACGTCACGGGCCACGTGTTACGGCGGGATATAAGACAACAGCGGCAGGTAAAGCCTGGCAAGGACCGCATCAAAGGCCCTGCGGACACGAAGCGCTATGCCATTCGCCCCATCCATTGCACCCCGAGACCAGACTGTCGGCACAGTGCTTTCTCGGCAGCGAGTCGGCAGCTTACAGGCAACATAACATCCAGCGGCACGGGCTCTCTGCGCGGCCGCTTCGGCGTCACACGCTCACGGTCTCCGCAGTCGGCCAACACAACCACCTGCAATGGACAGGGTGTCGACGGTCAGGGATGGCGGCGCCCAGGGATGGCGGCGCCCAGGGGTGTCGGCGCCCAGGGGTGTCGGCGACAGGGGCCGGCGCCCAGGGTTGTCAGCTCAGGGGTGTGAGGTCAGGGGTGTCGGCGCCCAGGGGTGTCGGCGACAGGGGCTGGCGCCCAGGGGTGTCAGGTCAGGGGTGTCGGCGGTCAGGGGCTGCGACGCCCGCATGCCGTCTGTGGCCGTGCGGACCGGGGACGGGCACGCACCGAGCCCTGCTCACCAATCGCTCGCGGGGGCGGCGTTCACTTCCGACGCGCCCGCCACAAGCGGCGGCGTCGACAATCGTGACTACAAGGTGGCGCGGTGACCAGCGTCGGCACTGTCGAGAGCCGGCAGTCGGCCGTTGGCTGGGCAAGCCACAGATGCTCGGGCACACAGCTACTCACGCCACGCAACGTTCAACACCGGCCGCGCACACACAGCTGCTTACTCGCCTAGTTTACATCGCAAATCTAGACTGGGCACTCTCAAGCTGCAAAAAGCAACCAAGCAGATGCCGATGCTCTCGTGCAGCTATCCTCTACTGACTTCAGTTCTATGCTCCTAGGTTTGTACCCTGGCGATCCCGTGGTGGTTGATGCGTTCACGATCACCGACGGGATTGGAAACTAGAAAAATTCAGTCATGCAATTAAAAATTAGAGCGCAATGGCCTTGTATATCTCTCTTACCCTCTTCCTTCGAGCCTGACAAAACAGAGGCAATGGTGAATTAACATCCTCGGAATTCATTGACAACGAGGCGGATGGGCGACTCCAACAGTTCACAGTATGTTAAGCACACACCACACATAACTCCCGCATTATCCAGCACTATCCGTCGATACCCGGCGCACCGTACGACACAACACTCCACCCCTGACCACAGCCATCCGTCGCGCAGGCGCGTCAAGGCAGCGAAGGAAGCAAGCATGGCGTCTTATCCGGCGGCGCATTGGACAAGACGACCGTTGGTGTGTATTCGCAGTTCAGTACAGCCAGTCTCTGGCCACGTAGGCGAACTAGGGCGGGGCTCTGTGAAAGTCGTGCTGTCATTGGTCACACCCAGCGCTTCAGCCAGTAAGGTGGGCGCCGGTGAGGCCGGCGCTGCTCAGTCTTCGGACATGGATGCCGACGCGCTCAGCCGGCTCTTCGCTGGTGTCGGCGAGCGTGCTGTCGCTTAGGTGGACAAGTCGAGGCCAGGTTTGCCTGCGAGACTGCTGCGGGATATCGACGGCCGCGTCCGCGCCGCGCATCATCAGCTCTATGAGCTGATGCCGTATGAATGGTCACCCGGAGAGCCGTATAGAGTTCTATCCCAAGTACATACCCCGCTCCAAGTGTCCGTTCTCGCCGTACACCCTGTTCCAGGGGTCCGCTCCCGCCATATACCCTGTTCCAGAGAGCCATCCCGCCACACACCCTGTTCCAGAGGGCCATCCCGCCACACACCCTGTTCCAGAGGTCCGTCCGGCCGCAGACCCCACAACTTCCGTGGCTCGCCCGCGGTCCGTACCTTGGTGTCGGCCGACTGGGTAGCGCCGGCCAGCGGCGGCGCGGCGGGCTCGAAGTCGGCGCCGAGCGTGCGCGCGCGAGTCAGCGCCGCCCCCTCCGCCACGAACGTCTGCTCGTGCGTCACCGTTGACTCGTGCGGCAGCTGACGGACAGGGCCGGGTCACGGTCACCAATCACAGCCGTCCGCCGTACCGCCCGAGCGGCGCACACGCAGCACGGCCCGTAGTGGCTACCCACCCAGTACCCACGCCTTCTCTGTGTCATCACATGCAGCACCATCTGTCGTTCCGTTCTCCAAGGCAAAAAGTCATACTTGTCACTTAGAGCTCCTGGAGAACTTTTCATGGTGGTTCTATGCTTTATATGATCGAGGTTCTTGTACACATGGGATAGACCGAGCTACAACTCTCTCGAAAAAGGGGGCATGAATTATACAAATCCCACATCACAGAGCCTCATCGCAACGGGGAACAGTGCAAACTTCTGGAGATGCCAGTAAAACAGCTACTGTACGATTTTAGATGAGCTCTTCAGTAAGCCTTTCGCAGGGGCACAACTGATAAAAGATTGCTGTTCCTTAGGCAGGAGATTTTACGCTCCATTTAATGTCACAAACGTTGACAATCAATGACAGCACGACGGCGACGGAACGTAGATATGTGGAAACAACTATGGATGTTACTCATGCCGGTCTTCGTGAGTTTAACGTGATGCAGCGGAAAGCGGGTACACCAACCAGAGCCATGATCAATAACAACAGCACACGGCTATGACAGTACTGTGTGATTTGCGAATGCCACGCCTAGAATGTAACAGTTACCAAACTGCGCCCGATGAAATTTTGCCTTTACGCCATTAAAAGCAATGAACACACTATGGACTGACGCACGCAACTGCTAGCCCGTCTTAGCCTCACATCACCTTCAAGCACAAGCTGACACGATGACGTCAATAACCATAAGCTGCACACGCCCGCCTACCGCGGGCCGTTCGGAGCGTGACGGCTGCGGTCGTGACGCCGCCAGTGGCACCAGCCGGCCAGCGGCAGCAGCCGGTGGCACCACCCGGCCAGCGGCACCAGCCGGCCAGCGGCAGCAGCGCCGCCGCTCCACTCACCAGCATGGCCGGAGCCCGGAACATGTACGAGAACGGGTAGTACAGCATGTTCAGCATGGTCGCTCCGTATAGGTCGGCGTAGCGGTTCACCTGCAACAGTCGCGCCGTGTCCTGAACTCCGCAAAGCTCCGCCGATCAGACGACGGTCGCAACACGACCGGTGCACTGCGCACAGGGCGGCAGCCACTGCCAGCAGTGTGCAGCCCGCATGCGTTACACCAGATCTGTCCGCCTGAGATCCCTTCAGGGGATGCCTCAGCGGCGCACAGCCCGCACGTGTTACACCGGATCTGTACGCCTGAGATCCCTTCAGGGGATGCCTCAGCGGCGCACAGCGCGCACGTGTTACACCGGATCTTTATGCCCGAGATCCCTTCAGGGGATGCCTCAGCGGCGCACAGCGCGCACGTGTTACACCGGATCTTTATGCCCGAGATCCCTTCAGGGGATGCCGCAGCGGCGCACAGCACGCACGTGTTACACCGGATCTGTCCATCTGAGATCCCTTTAGGTGATGCCTGGTGGAAAGCCCAGCACTGCCGGACCCACATTACGGCAGACTAGCCGTTAGCCAAGCCCCGCCCGCGAACATCTCTCGAAACGTGGCGGCAAACGCCGCACGCAGGGCCGGCGCCGCCCCAATGCCAGGGGCGACGACAATTGGGGGTACACAGCCGCTCCCACTACCAGACAACCCCCAATCCGCGACAGTTTCTTCGCCGACATCACGCAGCGCGGCGCTTTCCTGTCCGACAGCGCCTTCAGCCGGACAGCCGCGTCTGCCGCCAGTGTCCGTGCTCCGCCATGCCCCACCTGCGCGGCGAAGAACGTCTGGCGCGAGCCGCTGCGGAACACGCTGCCCAGCAGGCCGTAACTCATGTCCATCTCGTGCGTGATGCCCTTGATGGCCTCGCGCACGTCACGGATGTCGGGCTTCTCCTTCGTGGACGAGTCCATGTTCCTGGGCGGGGGCGGCGCGTGTCATGACTCAGCGTGGGCGCACACCGGTGTCTGCCAAGCTTCGTAACGATGAAGGGACCACACGGATATGCCCAATTTTACGGAAGCTCTATATCTGCTGAGCCTGCTCACATTGCCTGACGTCTGCCTCCACCAACGAGCGTAATGATAAACCCTGGCAACCTCACCATTTAACCGTACAGAGCCATTAATGGCCTTCTACCACTAATTACCAGGGATCACGAAGAGAACTATTCTTACCCGATCACCCTGAGAAAATCACAGAAATAGGCGAGGCGCAATAGTCCTATATACTGACAACCAAAGCCTAAGGACCAGCAGCTAGCTTGGCAAGGCACTGTAAATGGTCAACCAGCTCGCGACACAGATCCAGAAAGAAGATAAGTCACTCTAAGATGGGTCATGGTTTGGTATCAGTATGGACTCTGCTGTTTTTCATGGGGCTGCGCACCTTGCTGGCATCGCACATGGCTGTGATACACGAATGGTGCGGTTTCCAAGGACGTGTCCTGTGCGCTTACACCCACGATGTTGCTTCGCGTTTGTGGTACTTTTGCTATCGTCTGACGCATAATGAATTGCGTGTCTCGTGGAGATTTCTCTCGGGTTGGATCTTCCTCTATAGTGACGGTGCCCACTTCAAAATAAATAGCCCTAGCATACTACTTGCGTACTCAACCAAACCCAGGATAGCTTAACGAGCCCGCACCAAATCCAATGTACCTAAACTGAGCTTGGTCACAGAAGAGTGCAAGCATCTCAGCACAGCAAAAAAAAAACGACCACGAGCACAACAAATACTCCAACAGAGATCCGCGCCACGATCAGCACCACACTCCAGGACAACACGTCTCGCACGGCGGAACCCCCCCCCCCCCCCTCGCCCAACACAGCTACCACTCACTTGTAGAGCGTGCCCAGCTTGACATCCAGCGTCTGCAGGCGGTCGAAAAGCTGGCACTTCTGCGTCCACACAGACAGCTCCTGCGTCAGTTCTGGCACGATCAGGTAGGTCCGCCAGCCCACGATCTTCTTCGACTTCAAGATGTCGCCGAAGATGTGGTCGCCGAAGTACAGCACGTCACGGCCCTTGGCGTTGATCAGCTTAGAGAACACCTCACACGAGCCTGCCGGGGGCGACGCCCATGTGTTGGCCTTCGCTTCACTTGGCATACTTCCGTTTCTATCGAAACAATGGTGTTCACTTTGAGGCACTTTCATTCAACTCGGAACACCACCCGCAGCACTAACCGTCGCCGCAGCAGGCCGGTGCGCCACCCCTTCGTTCGCAGAGCCTCGCCAGCCCACGAGACCTGTCCACCCTCTCCCGCATCCCTGCCTCCCTGACGCCAGCGTTGCCCCTCTGCAGGTCAGGCGCCGCGGGCCGGGCGCCACTCCCCGCACCCGCGTCAGGACACTCACCGCCCGAGTACACCTGGCCAGACTGCAGCGGCCCTATGTGGTGACCGATCTTGAGCGCCCCGGTCTGCTCGTCCACCTGGCGCAGGATGGTGCCCTCGGCGAAGAACAGCGGCTTCCGCGCGTCCACCACAATGTAGTCGAAATAGGAGCGCCACGGCTTCACCTGGGAACAGCCGGTGCACCGCGTCGGACCGGCGGCCCCGGAAGCGCGCGCCACGGACAGCACAAACAGGCGACGGCGCCCGGACACGCACAACATTTTCATGAGCGTTAAAAGCGATGTGCTTTTCAACGGCCTTGAACATCAAAGTTACACAAAAAATGCTCTGTTGAACAACTGAGAGATTTATTTGCACGCAACTTCTACTATCGGCGACACAACCCACGTGCTACTGTGTGCCCCTGCGTCACAATCCACAAGGGCTTAGTGATAGGCCCGATCAAAGCACGTAAACTGTGTCTAGCACCGCCACTCACGCATGCATGACTGGGCTCGTGGGGCCCCACGACCAGCGCGCGGCCGTCCGCCACGCCGGCCCCCCTCCCGGCGCACTCACGCCCTCAAACTGGAACAGGAAGCTCATGATGGCCTCTGTGTACCAGAACTCGGAGTTGGTCAGCAGGAACGTCTTGACGCCGTTCTCGCGCAGCCGGTCCAGCAGCATGGGCAGACGCTCGTCCCGGTGCACGTGCTCCTCCAGGTTTCGCACTGTGTTCGCCTTCAGATCACCCTGGGAGCGGCCGCCGGCAGGGATCAGCGGCGCGCACAGCCCGCGCGGCGGTGCCAACACACTGTACACGCCACTGGCACCTGACGCATCACGTGGCAGGCGAGGCAGCGCCTCATATCAGTTCATCTCAACACAAAACAAAAAAATTGCCAGCGAGGATAATGCGCGTTTGCACGGTCATATCCACTCTCTTCAGCAATCCTACGGACATAAGCCTACACCCGCGAACATAACCTCGTCCGCTAGAGGACACCTTAACGAGCCCGCGCTCTCGCGTCCACCTCGGCCCGGATCGGCTCCTAGCGCCGTCGGCCCGCCCCGGAGAGCTCCGGGGCGAACCGGAGCGCTCCAGTCGGCAACGGAACGTGCAGGTCGGCCCCGGAGCGGACCGGTTGTCTCCAGAACGTGCCGGTCGGCCCCGGAGCGCGCCGATCCGCCCCAGAACGTGCCGGTCGGCCCCGGAGCGCGCCGCTCCGTCCGCGGCCGTCGGCGGCGGCGGCTCACCTTAATGTGCACCCAGTCGACGCTCTGGCGCACGTCCTGGAAGATGGACTTGTAGCTCATGAAGAGGTCACCGTTGCGAACGCCGTCCACCGACCTGCGGCACGCAGAAGGCGGTTCGGAGACGGCTGGGGAGGGGGGGGGGGGGGCGGGACACGGACCCGGAGGACCGACGCAGAAACTGCCACGGGCGCCCGGGACAGGGTCCGATCATGCACCAGCAGACACGGCTAGACCGACTCCTGCCACGGCGGCGGGAGCCGCCCAAGCTGACGATCACGGCGTAAACTTCGGTGGTCGCCCGGGGAGTCAACATCATATGGCCTAACGCAAACACCAATGTCAGCCAAATGCAACGTTACAGCGCCAGAAGTGTTTTAATTGGAGCGGTGAATAGACGACAGGCCCGGCGATCACGCAGGGACCTTCCAACTGCGTGCCAGACAGTAGCTAGGCTGGGACAGTGGGTCCCTTTAATATAATATAAGATAATAATAAAAGATAGCCCTTTCCTTTCAGCTTTTTACTCTCACCTTCAAAAATCGACTTTCAGAATAAGCTGAACTCCCTCTCACTGCAGTGCCAAAACGGGGAGCCACGGCCGAAACGGCGTCCAGACGCAGCTGTGGCCAACGGGCACACGAAAGACTGGCTGCAGAGACTCAGGCCCACCCACTGCCCCTCACCCCATCCGCCCACCCACGACTCCCTTAACAGTGCAGGGGAGCGACAGGGTGCATGCACTACAGCGACAGTATTCGTGGCTGGGCATTCGTGGCCGCTACACTGGACAAGTCAGTGATACAGCTGGACCGTCCATCAGACCTCCTCCAAGCTTGTGAGAACACGTGCTCATCATGGATGTTCGTGTTTAACAACTTAACCTAAACAATTTACTTAGACCCCTTTGAGATCGTCACAGGCGCCACTGGATGTGTACGATGACCTGAATAACCATGCGTTGAGATTCCAGCACAACCGAAACACTTACGGATATGGTAACTGTTTGCACCGTCGTTCTCGTCTGGTGTGCTGGTATGACATTGAGAAGGTACTAACACATCAGGCGAGGACGATAATCCCGAACAGTTATTCCATCCGTGATATTAATACCTCGTCTCGGTTCTTCCGTAAAACTGCCACCAGGACCGTTTTCACATCTCTCTTACCTACTTGCAAAAATAGCAGAAGTGATTCAGACAGAGACGAATCACTTTTGCCAAAAGTTGCTCATAGTGACCTTGCGCGGCCCGAGCCTGGTCGCAAGCCAACTCTACTTCAAGGATGTAAAAACCAGTGTAGGTCAGTTCAGCTGCATCCACACTATCAAGGCCTGGATGGAGTTCTCAGGTGTGCCGACCACGCTCACCAGGTCATGTCAGGGGCGCCAGACAGCACCAAGCCCAGGGACGAGGCTCCCCAAGTCATGTCAAGGGCGCCAGACAGCACCAAGCCCAGGGACGAAGCTCCCCAGGTCATGTCAGGGGCGCCAGACAGCACCATGCCCACGGACGAAGCTCATCACGCTACGAGGGTGGGTCAGAGGACCGCCCATACGGAACGGTAGCGCAACACAACACAACCACATCAGACGACCGACTGTGTTAGCGGTATTCACAGGTGATGTGCCTCAAATCAAATAGTTACCCAGCGCGACCACTCCTGAAAAGTTGACGGGCATTAATGGCGGGTCACAGGCAGACGCCAATGGCTCGGTCACTGCTTAGGGCGTTACCACCAGTACCGCCTCTAAGGTTTATAGAACGACGCATATTCGCGTCAATACAACCAACACCACATCAAATCGATCAGTCATCGACTCATCATAAACCCACGCGGGCACACAGACTAAATTGTGGCCGAAGAAAATCTCTCCAAGACGAGACCAGCAAGTTATGCATCATGGCACGAATAAATCCTCTCCAGAACACAAAAAAAAACACGCTGCTAATGCAAGAAACATGAATTCGCGAAGTTCCACTAAGCTGCCTTTTGCAATCCTCATGCACGCAAGCTTATCCTTTCGTCCCGTATTCCCTGGTTATTCCAAAATTTAGACAACTGTAGCCGAGTGGCAGACTGGGGAGACGTGACCCGAGGATCATAGATATAAGACCTCTGAAAATCTATGTTTCGATGTTTGCAGCTGCAGTGTGTTCCAGAATAACCCACATACCATTATACACACGGCGCAGACTGAGTCGACACCTCACAGCTCTGCTGCAGTTAATGGCAGCCTATTCGTAGCTTGCATTACGAAGATTTATCTAATATTGCTGTAGCATGACCAATATGGTAGTGGCGCTGTCAATGACCAGCACTCCCCATTAAACGTTCAATGTGGATGGCTGCGAGCTCCTGAACATAATGTTTAATGTCGCTGGCCGAAAATTTGCATGTCCCATCCAGGTCAATCGACCACACACATCCAAAACCGAGCGACGCTTCGCAGATTGATTATCGGCTTGTGCACCACGACCTCATCTTTTTTAAATGGCGTGTTTTGCGATAAGATCGACTCGGACATCCCGGAAACTTTTGGTCCCCCGTTGATCCCCCGTCTGTGGTCCCTCAGACACAGCGAGGTGCTATCGAAGACGGCATATCCTGTCGCCTACCATGCAATATGAATGTATTCTATGACACGGATTCTAGCAGGAATAGCCCTGACGTTGTCATCGATAAGCCCTGTATCGATATTACATCAAGACACCATCTTGAACACCCTGCCACTCCCCCATACTCCAGCCAACGCTTCATGAGCTCCTGGAGCGACCTGCTATTTTCTCTGCTCCCCACCGCCACTCACATCGTGTAGGAGGGGTCGTTCGAGAAGAAGTCGATGGTGCAGGCGAGGATGTAGATCTCTGGCAGGTTAAACAGCGTGTTCATCACGTACACTCGCGAGTCTTCCAGTGTGAGGAACGAGTTGGGGTACATCTCGTAGATCTCCGACCTGCGAGACAACAGCCGGCTGAGCACATGCAGACCAGCGCCGCTGAGTGACCAATGCCGCTGAGTGACCAGCGCCGCTGAGTGACCACCGCCGCTGGGTGACCAGCACCGCTGAGTGACCAGCGCCGCTGAGTGACCAGCGCCGCTGAGTGATTGAGCCGAGGAATCTCATCAGTGCGCCGCGTCAGCCATGCGCGGCCTCGAGACGCCACGGATGCCGTTCAACAGTTGGGAGTCCGGTGGGAAGCGGTACTATGTTTGCTTGCAAGTGGAGCGCTCGGGTTGCAGGGAGCCAATATAAACAGGAGTGCCAACTCAGCCACGTGGCAGCAACGTAACAAGCAAATAGGTAATCATTAAATACTTCTGCATGTCCATAATGGAGCAGTTTGCCTGCCAACACGTTACGAATAGGCCTTGTCCAGGCTGAGTTTCCTATGCAAGATCGTTACGCCACATTCCACCACGTGTTCGTGGCGGAACGAGGCGTCCCTGCCCCACGCCGGCTTACTTCTTCAGGAACTTGAAGCCGTGCACACACACCAGGATGTTTCCGTAGGCGTCTACCTTGAGCAAGTTACCGAACTGGGTGTCGAACCACAGGCCTCTGCGAACATAAAACACAAGTTTTAACACAGGGCAATAGACGGCAGGCACTCACTTTGTTTTGGACGGAATGTACATTCTCGGTAACATGTAGGCCAACTTACTTAAAATGCTGACAATATGGCATGGGAAATCACAAATGCCGAGCCAGTGCAGCAAGCAAGCCTTTGCAAGCTCTTACGGGGTACACCGCAACAGACACATAGCAGAATTGGGTGAAAAAGGTAAGTACACCAGTGTGTTCGCCACCAAACGGTACAAAGAAAATTAATGCATGCAGTGGGCCGCCTATCCCTTGTACCCAACTTGCGTCGTCTCCCTCATTCGGCTCACCTGATGGGGAAGGTATGGTCGTACTCGAACTGCAGGATCTCGATCGGGTAGCCGATATTAACCATCCGCTTCTTGATCAGCTCGAACGCCAGCTTCTCCAACGCCGGCGACTTGTACACGGCCAGGGTGTAGTCCATGTCGAACCCGAAGAACTTGATCTTCTCCAGGTGAAGCGACCGATTGACAAAGACCCTGCAGCGCGGAGGGGACACGCCTTCAGACGCGAGAACCGTGCCCTGCTGTTCGATGTTCATCATTCGACCTCCAGCTATCGGCATGCGACTGCATGAATCGTCACCGACTTCGACGGCGAGGCTGGTCAACACCAGACGGCATAGTAAACACGGTAACCAGCGCCCGGCTGGCCACGCGCGCCCCAGCGGCCCGCCGCATGAGTCAGCCGACTCCGGCGCCGAGCAGGTGTTGCCTTCGTCGGGTGTGACCGCTGCGACGGCTGCGCGGCGCCGGCGGCGGCCGGCCAGACACCGCCGACGACACCGGCCCGGCCAGCCCCGTGGGGCGGGGCTCTGCGGTCAGCTGAGCCGGCGGTCTCTCTCGCGCCGGCCGTCGGCGGCCCGGCCGGCCCCCGGCCCCCGGGTGGAGGCCCTGCAGTCTGCCGAGCCGGCGGTCTCTCTCGCGCCGCGCGGGCCAACCCCCGCGGGATCGATAGTGTTGACTCGGGTTTAAGGGCGGCTCCAACGATCTGGCTGGCATTGACATTTACGCTGATGAGGTGGGCATGGACAGTGGCACCACTTCACATGCCAGCCAGCGCGATCCCGACAGCCGTGCTGGTGTGAGGGAGGAAAATGCAATCCCGTTCGCAGAATAACATGTAATCGGGAGCGTACGCAGGGTTTCACAACTGGACGTGTGGGATGGGGCAAAACTGAATTTTTTGCTGAAAACCAGGTTAAACGTACCGTACGCGCACGCATTTTTTATGTAGTGTAAAGCAGCATCGCATGCTCAACATCCTATTTTTACGTGCCTAACTAGAATTTCTGATTGTCAGCGGAGTTGCACTTTCCTATGCATCTGAGTATGGCGATCAAAATCGGACCACGAGGTAGGACCTAGTACTACTCTACCACCACATCATCCACGCAATTTGCTTTAAAGCAAAGGACAGTTTGTGGTGTCATCCGTCGGCGCTTAGTCAGCCGGTCCGGCCGAGAGGGCCACCGTCTGCAGCGTCGGCATCACGTGCACATGCTAACGCACGCCAACAAATCATATTTGATGCCATGCAACCGCACACCAGCAAAACAACCCGGCTGCCGATCGCGCCTGGCTCTGTGCGCCGGGCCAGTCTTCTCTGGAGGGCCGCCATGCGAACTGGACCAGTGTTTTCCCAAAAGCCGCTGTGGTAACAACGGTGAACTTAAGCTCTGCCGACCGCCTCAAAATAAACAACAAGACGAACGGTCTTTGGAAAAATACGCGCGATTCGTGCCGAGTCACCTCAACGGACTGGCAGCGGGTGGGCGCGCGACCACGAGTTCTTCTGACCACGGTGTTTCCCAACAATTGCACGGGCGAACATACATTGCACAACGCATGTAATTTAGCACCGGGGCCGTGGTGGTGCGCGAAAACAGACGAATCAAAACAACCCAACACCGCCTGAAGGGTTTTCATGCTCGAACACTGCTCGATAACATCCGCAGGCCTGCGACCAAGCTCTCGGCTTTCTTGGGCTTCTCAGCGTCCCAACGCCGGCCTGATATTTTCGGGTAATATCCCCAGATCTCTTCATGCCGCATGCTAACCGGGACATGTCCCAGTTCCCGCAGTCGCACGGCGCTATCAACCAGTATGGAAAGACAATGAATGTCTCGCCCAAAAGCTCCGCCACGTCTTCTCATATTCACTTTCACATTTCATTTCATTTCCCTGCTTTCGAACCACGCGTAGCTTATTAGGTCCCGATCGGAAGTGATCCCAACGACTGTGCCGTACCGCACTGGGAGCATCTCCTGCGTTTGGTCGAGGCCTTATTTCGTAAAATGATAATAAAGACGCCTACGCTTTGAAATAATGCGTAGCTTAAGCATGCAGGTCAGTGATAAATTAATTTTAGTCCAGACTTAGATGCCAAGGCAATTAATTAAAAACACGATTCACTGGAGCTGGTACATTCCGTGGAGCTGGTACATTCCATGGAGATGGCACATCAAGTAAACTGGTACGTTCAGTGGAGCTGGTATGTTCAGTGGAGCTGGTACGTTCAGTAGAGCTGGTGCATTCAGAGGAGCTGGTGTGGTTCGCGCTGCGATGAGGTGAGGTCTTAAAGTGTAGGTTCTTGTTTTCATTTTGTAGGACCGTGCACTCGCAAGGGATATTTTAGAGCCCTCGATATTTCGACGACAAACCCGCGGGAAAACTCCCTCCAATGAAGCGGAGCATTCCACTTGACACGGCATCCATAACAGCGGCGAACGTGCAGCTGGCGTAAAGCCGCAAGAGAGGGGAACACGTGGGAAGATCGACGATCAAATGTGATTGCGGTTACGACCGCAGCCATTCCTCCACGCTCGCTGCCATCATCCGGGTCTGGTGGCTCTCGGATTGCTCCTCTTAACAGCTCTGATGACCCAAACATCGTTAGTTTCTAACGTGTGGCGTTCCGAGAAGCTATTTGCGAACGTGAGGCGACGACTCAAAGGCCCGTCCGTATTCTGGCCACAGCTACATACGGCCCAATGGCATGGGCAAATGGTTAGTTCTTCTAAACCACGCATGTGAAGGCGTCCTTGTCAATGCCATTCATACGTTGCAAACAAAAAGCTCCATCAGTCAGCTCTCCAGTTTTGATGGCATCAAGTCATCCTGAGGCTCACGAATGTCGATGTCCAATCGGGCCCGTGGCATTGATGACAAAGGTGTCACTGTTCGCTATGCTAATTATCAAACGAAAACGAAACGGCATCACAAAACGTCTCTCCCGGTAACTGTCACACAGTGAACTGCCACGTAGGAATGCCCAGCCGCCAAAAGGAATCGCCGTTGATAGCTCCACGAATCACGAACCAGTAGGTCCCCTCACTCTGCAGACAGGCCTGTGAACACCGCCAGTGCGCAGTACGCGAGCTGCGCACTGCGCACTACCACGGCAACACAGCCATTCAACTTCCTAATCATAAGGCCAGGCATGTTTATGATGTGTTTTTTGTTTCTTGATTAGCACGCACGGAAGAGTGCTGAAGTGCTGCGCCGGAGAGGCGTCGAGTGGCGCTAGCACTCTGCACCTCCTACCCGTGTGAGAGTAGTGCGTCAGATCGAGCTACAAGCTCCTGGGACCGTCTGCGACGACTCGCGGCCCCTGGGACAGTCTGTGACTAGCCGCGGCCCCTGGGACCGTCTGTGACGAGCCCTAAGCTCCAGGATCGTCCTTGGCGAGCTGCACACTTCGGGACCGTCTGTGACGAGCCGCACTCCCTACGACCGTCTTTGACGAGCCGCACGCTTTGGGACCGTCTGTGACGAGCCGCACGCTCTAGGACCGTCTTTGACGAGCTGCACGCTCTAGGACCGTCCGTGACGAGCTGCACGCTCTAAGACCGTCTGTGACGAGCCGCACGCCTCACACGATCATAACATGCCTCAGGTAGTGGACATGTTAAAGACTGAGGCAGATGGCTCGCAATATAAATAACTCACGTTGAAACGTCTTAGAAGAACGTAGCATTTCGAATGTGTGCGAATGATCGTCATAAAAAGGACCGTCGCGCCGCTCCAAAAGTCCTTGAATGTTGCGGCGCCCATTCTCAGTTAGGCTCAGCGACAGCTAGCGTTATGACGCTGTGAACTGGACGAAATCCTCGCTACAATATCAGTCATTATATAAAACTTACTGCAATATTCTTACCAAGTATTTCGACATTACCACGGCCGCGAGTTGAGGATGTGGCCCGGCAGGACCCCATCGGCCGTCCTCGGATATTTACAGCCGACGTCACGCCGTGTGAGCGACCTCGCACGAGGCACGGGCACCACCAGCAGCCGCGCGTGCAAGACTGATCGGAGACGGTGGCGGACAGACGGCAGGCAGGCGGCCGGAAGAGAGACGTCCCAGCCCCGGAGCACGCGGACACAGGCGCTGTGACACCGGCCCAACATGGCTGATGATGGAACACGTCACAGGCCCAACATGGCTGATGATGGAGCACGTTACAGGCTCGACATGGCTGATTAAAGAGCACTTCACCGGCCCGACGTGGCTGGCACCGGACCACGTCACTGACCCGACATGGCTGATGCCGGACCACGTCACCGGCCCGACATGGCTGATGCCGGACCACGTCACCGGCCCGACATGGCTGATGACGCAGCACGTTACTGGCCCGATATGGCTGCTACCGGATCACGTTACTGGCCCGATATGGCTGATGCCGGAGCAAGTCACCGGGTCTGGAGTCCGAGGCAGCCGGAGTACCGGGCACGGAACCCACGTCGCCCGAAGCCCATCATGAGCGCCGTGTTCCACCGCGAGATGGTCAGATGGCGAGCGACGTGCTCTGTCAGAGGCCAACGAGTCAGGCCTTCGATCCGATCCTGGCGCGCGGCCCGGTAAACACTGCCGGCTGGATACCTGCGCAATTCGGCTGAATTTGGCCCGCCACGGCCGCGGCGGACGGGTCCGAGGCCAGCGGGCCGCCGACAATCCGCCTCCCCATCCCATCAACCAATTGTGACGACACAGGGTGACGCACAGAAACCAATTCACGGCCGGTCGACGGGAAGTGGATGATAATACGAGATTGGCTGGCACGCGGGCGGCGAGCACGCCGAGTCGCGGCCGACGCCGCCGCCGTCCTGACAGCGCCGTGTGCCGTGCGTCCAGCCGCCTCGATGACTCGTCAGCGGTCGGCCAGCGACGCGGCACGACCGACCATCGCCAGCGGAATGTTGGCCACCGACGAACTGGCGACGCGGACAGGGAAGAGGCGGGCCGCAGCCGGCGACAATGGCGCCGTGGTGTCACGGCCGCGGCGGGGGGGGGGGGGGGGGGAGGGGCGGCGGCTAATCCGTCGGTGAGCGCCGTCAGCTGCCGCAGTTCGACTCGCCGCTCTCGCGCGGGCGAATACCTCTGGACCTCTGGCTTTGAGTCGACGTTGCATTTAAGTCCTCCAAATCGTTTCTGGGTTTTGAGGCCACGTGGCTTTTGATGTAATGAACATGGGTCCGACTGCGCGGAAGTGTAATCCACTTCGACCTTGGGTCATCTTTGCATAGCATGACAACTAATTTGAATAAACAGTCCGGAAGTTGCTGTGACATCTGGAGGTAACGCTGATGCTGGCTACAGATGTGCCCCAAATCCTCGATATATTGTCACGGAGTTGGTTCCCGTGACAAACAGCAAAAGGTAAAGCAATATTCCGACATACGGGTGACATGGGGGTTAAGCAATGGCCCTTTATGCCGATCAAGTAAAGGAATGTTCCACATTTATTAAGGCAAGCACCAGATATGATGGAAAAGCTCCCTGGTAACCACTGGAATGCCTTTAAGTGAAAAAGACTGCTTTAAATTTTACATAAATGGCTATTTAGTGAAGGTGTTCCTCAATACATCATCATTTGATTACGCCACGGAACATTTTTATGGCACCAGAGTCGCTGCCAGACTGTCAGAACTGCCACTGTAGCGGACGGACTGACTAACTTGCAGTACCTCAAATCGCCGCAAAACGGACTGTTAATTCATGCTTGTGAAAAACAACGGCCGCTGTGTGCGCGTTTTGGCCCTTTCTCGTCGCGTTTTTGTATTTTTGCGTGATGGAGTATTGTTTACTCGCAGTTGTATCATCTGTTACGGCGCTTTTTTAAAATTAATCGATTCCCAGCCTCACGTCCATCATGGCTAGTAGAGCTGCTCAAATGCCTGCATGTATCACAAAAACGCTGTTCGTCATCGAGGCTCACATTTAAGGCGCTGAGCTGGACGGAAGCCAACTAGTTTGCGTTGATGCGACAATACGTGCTGACGTATTCCGGGCACGAATACGCTAATGGCCATATTTGTCGTGAACTTGACAATGTGGGGCCACTGAAGACGCGGGAATAAGCGCGATGCTTGTATGGCCCCACACGCCTCTGCGCGACTTCAAGTTAGGCGGCGCGAAAAACAGTCAGCACAAATTCGCGTGCGCCGAGCTCAGAAACAAGAGGATCTGACGCCTTGCAAAAGGCATAACTGCGAGCTGCACGGGATGACCTCGAAAATGGCTAGCTCGGTTCAAACCCCCGTACAAATGTGGAACAGTCTCTTCAATAGTCGCAGACAGGTGCTCCAAGCCGTATACACTTGAGCTGCCAGAACGACATATGGTGTGATTCACAGCTGCACTTGCCTGAGCTTCCCGAGTGTATTCGACACACTTTAATCAAGTAATGCAAATACATTTAGATTGACCTTCATGACGTCGTATTGACTTCAAAACCTTTTCCAAATCCGGCCGACATCAAGCGACATGCACATGCCAAGGCACCTGTGCCAGCCGCCGGGTCATAGTGCTGTTTCGGCGTGGTCTCCCATGTTTTCGCCCCTTGCGGGCTCATAACAAGGTCGCTCCATCTCGTCTGGCTAATGATGAAACCCGGCCTGACTTAACCGCAGCCGACCCGCCCACGTCACCTCGGTCACCGGCCGTCCCGCCTCCGTCACCGACCGCCCCGCTCCGTCAGCCGACTTTTTGCGCCGCCGTTGAAGGCTAACGAGCCCCGGACACGTGCGCCCAACATCTGGAGACGGGTCAGCACGTCGGCCGCCCACACACACAGCCGCGCACGCCGGCTCGCCGCATGACGCGCTGGCATTGACTGCGGTTCGACACACGAGCGCCCGGAGAGCCCGGCGGGGACGCATAGTCAACGCGGCGGCCACCTCATCCTCGCACTTGTGGCGGGGAAAACACCGGCAAGGATACCGGGTGCCGGCGGACGCGTAATATTCAAAGGCGTTATTTATAGCAAGATATTCCATCAGCTGTTGCGGTGTAACATCACACTTAAGTAAAATTCGCCTGCTCGGGGCGGAAAACAAGCATATCCAATATCACATCAGCAGTGAACGCAGGCAACATCACTTCAGCTTCAGTCGCATCAGTCGCAAGAAAAACACATTTCGGGCGCCACCAGACATCACGCGTCGTCGGCGACCGAGCAGGTGATGCGTTAGGCGAAAACAGCTCGGTCCACCGCGCACCCAGCACTCGCCGCTCGTCCTACCTGTGCTCGGCCTCTCGCTTCTCGCCGGCCACGCCGGCGCCGTCGAACGTGCAGAAGTCATCGTCCTCGCAGATGGACGGGCCCAGCCGCGATATGCGCATGCCATTGATGCGGCCGCGCCAGCCGTTCTCGCCAGCCGGAGCGGGCGCACTGCCATTGGCGCTCATCGTGCAGGGGGAGGGGAGGTCGCGTGCGCACGTCCGCCGCCGACCGACGCAGACGACCAACTGGTGGTGGTAGCGGCGGCGGCGGCGGCGGCGGCTGGAGGTCACCGGGCAGGGCGGATCATACCGGCCGGCCGGCCGGCAAGCGGGTCCCGCAAGGTCGTGCGGTACGCCCCGTGGCTGTACCGAGTTTGGTATGGGTACACCGGCACCGAGCGCGCCACAAGGTCCACCATGGAAGCGGCGTGGCGCATCGGCTCCGGTACACGAGCGCGGATGTAAGTCAGAGACAGACCGGCACGCAGCCGGTCAGACCACGGCCCGGATCGGCACGCGGCCGTGCATTCTTCGGGAGTGTGATGCAACGACGCCGACCCTGACGCAAGACCGGCCGTGGCTGCGGGGGACGTGCGCGGCGTGGGCGGGCCGCGTAACGGTGCTATCGGGGCGTGACTGACCAAGGCCAACAACTGGCCAGAGTCCGCCGCGTCACGTCGCACGACAGATTCGGCCAGTCTTCTATTGTCATCATCCGCCCACTTGACTGCGATACATTCTTCGTGCGGATCACACAGAAGGCAGCTGCTGCGGCTGCGTCCTCGGTCGCCGCGCCTGCGTGTCAGATGGCGGCTTGCTTTCACTCGTCTGCCCCGCACCCGCGGGCGCACTGGCCAGACGCGGAGGGTTCCTCCCTGCAACACTGTGCATTCCTCTGCAGCCCGTCCTGCACCCGCCGGCAGCCTGTCTCGCCGCCTTCTTCCAGCCGCTCGCTCATCTCGCCGATGTACGGATGGGCGAGGGGTGAGACAGACCGGTGTTGTGCAAAGGGGCGGCACGGGCCGGCCAGGACCGCCCGCCCCGGCTGCCGGAAGTGTGGCGCGGTCGGGTGCGAGGGTACGGCTTCGGCGGCGGCCGGTCCCCCACCTTGACCGCGTTTTACCGGCCGGCGCCGCGGCGCCGCGGCCGACCAAACACCGGAACCCCGCTGTGACGAGGCGTGGTCTCTCGCTGACGCCGCTGTCGGGGAGCTGGCGGTCCGAGCCTCAACCCGCCCGAGTCCACTGACGAGGCGCGGTCTCTCGCTGATTCCGCTGTCCGGAAGTCAGCAGTCCGAGCCCTGCCCCGCCACCCTGCGTCCGTCCGCTCCGCGGCCAGCCATCTAATGCATAAACGGCAGAGCTCGGCTCTTTTCTGCACGAGTTCGTCGGTGATCTTAAAGTGTACCTGGCAGCGGCCCTCCGGTGAGGTTACTTTATACAAAGGCGTTTGAGAGGATCCCATATATAAATATATATATATATATATATATATATATATATATATATATATATATATATATATATAACATTATACAGCGGCTTATATATGTATATATATATATATATATATATATATATATATATATATATATAAGCCGCTGTATAATGTCTCCATTAAGCAGGAGGCACCAGTACCATACATGGCGGGTTGGTCAGGAAAACCACGGACATCCAGCATGGTGCACTATTACCACACAAAGCAATGAAGGATCGAAATGGCGAGGTGAGCGCGATACGAACGAAACCAACACCGCATCCACGCCGAGAATAATCACAGACGCTACCCCCAGCTGCCCCGTCGGATTGTCCCGGAGGGTTCCCACAACTTCTTCGCATCAGAGCCCTAACAGGGCGCGACGCACTCTTCACCAGTGCCCAGTAACGCAGCAACAGCCAGGCTGACCTTGCATGCACAACTTTCACCCGAGCACTGTGAACTGTAGTCAGCAGGGAGGGTATCATCAAATGGAAGAGCCCCATGAAGAAAACAATCGTGGCGACATTTTACATCGGCAGCAATGCTTTGTCATTGTTATAGAAACAGAAAGCAGTCGAGAGCCAACGATTTAAGTCCGAGGATAGTGTGTGTATTCCTAAACAGCTGTGAGCCGCAAATTCAATCTCCACTTTTAGCAATAATTTGGGGCGGAGACGCGTGGAGCACCTGGGGGACTCGTCCTCCGCATTTTTGCCTCCGTGGCTGCTTTTAAAGGAGTGCGTATTAGAGGACTGGAGCTGGACCTGAGTCTGTGCACTAAGTGTGAGCGTAGTGAACTGGTTGTTGGTACACACGTGTAAAATGAATATGTTAAAAAAACGCTGTATGCAAACATGCCACTCCACATCGGCAACGCAAAAATACGCTGTTTTTAACCGACCTGATCTTTATGTTTTGCAGCTTAATGGCCAACGGATGAACACCTGAACAAGAAATATACGTAAACGAGGATACCCCATTGGTGGGACGTCAATTCCAAGAACATTTTGGAATGTGCGGAACATTTTGCGCGACAAATACCTTTCAGGATAGCATCAGTGAAAATGCATCTTGGTCACACCATAACTGCTCGTGCAATATAAACTCATCCCCGTCATTGACATCCAACTCACCATCGTCTGCCTAAATTCAAAATTTCAAAGACAGCCAAAAACAAAAATTACGAAGCACAACGCAAATCATGATGAAGCCCTTTAGTTGCCCTTATATTGTAGTTGCCGGGGCATTTGGGGCAAATTTTAAAACTCATGAAAAAGGGCGGCCCAAGAAATTGAAGGGCATAATGGAGAGTAAGTTGTTCAGTGTATTAGCGGGGAACACTATTCACATAGATAAGACAGTAGTATTAGTCTCATTCCTCAGAAAAACCGGGAGAATGGAGATGTAGTCGGGTTGATATTTTGGCTACATGCCTTTATCGAAACAATAGCACAAGTGAATTCACTCCTGCTATTGTTTCGAACCGTGACCCCAGTTCATGGCCCATCCGTGTCTGTGTCATTGGGACTTAACGGCGCACTCAGCTATTGAGGCTGTAAGGCGTCGCCTGCCTCTCACTCTAGCGGGAAGGGCAGGCACCGCGGGGAACGAACCCCGTACCCCTGGTTTCCCAGACGCGCAGTGGTTAACGCAGACGCGTTAACCACCACACCACCGGCACCTCCTCGTGGTCTATCTCCCACCAACCTCTGCGTCCGCTCGCGACCCTGGTGGCACGTGCGCTGGCCGCCTGTGCGCTGCATCTCCACTACCGTAGATGCCTCCTCTGGTACATACTGTCCGATAACAAATGTTGCAACTTATGACGTAAAGAACATAGCCGTCGTCTTGTCGGCGTCTCCTTGTAGTCCTTGATCATCGAGTAATAGCCAGGACAAGCGAAATGGGCGAAAGGATTCGCGGATTATCCGTCTTTCGCCTTTTGGCTATATGTTTTTCACAATTCAAAAACGGGTTTTACAGATGGGCAGCCTACATTTTATCACGATGCGCTTAATGATTCCGATGCGGCCACCACAACAGTGCGCTCCCCCATTCCTGTCGACCACTTTACCGCTGTTACTTCTCGGAATATCTATCCTACGCATCAAAAATGGATTATTTGGCTTGGTCGTATAGGTGCAATGCTCCTGCTACATAATGGGCGCAGCCCATACACGGACGGAACGTGTCCTGGAGGCTGACGCTATTTCGCACTGGGTGAAGCCCACCTGTTCCATTAACCGGACAAGCTATGACCTTCCGTGATGGGGCCAGCCTATTGGAGGTAAGGGGCCCACGAAAGGTCACTAAGCAACATTTGCCGACTGGCACGCTGCGGAATCGCACAACAACGCCAGCTAAGGTTTCGGCTAAGGTTTACGAGGTTAACCTGAGCCAACCATAGCTAACCCCGTCCCTGCCTCCCACAACTAAAAACGCGTGCCGCCGCCCCTGCTGACAATCCCCATTGTCATCCAAATCATCCGCCAGCTCCACAAATGTAAGTACCGGATGCAAGCAGAAATGCGTAACCGGCGCGTCAGAGCCTAGATGCTCTTTATCATCAATATTTGCATTGTATCGAGAAATCAAACTTACGGGTCTGAAGATTTCATCACCAAGGGCGGACGACAGGACGACAGAACAGAAATGTACGTAAACAGCGATACAGAGGTAGAGGGCCTCATGACATGCGCAAACTCCAAATGCCAACTATTAACGCGCATCAAGAGTTTGGGGAAGGAACTACTATACGAGCATTTCGGAGAGCGTTGCGCTGGTTGTTGGTGTGAAAGCCAAATTTCCCACCGTTGCGCTCGCTGGCACCAGTGGTCTCACAGCGTCAAGAATCCATCCCAATGCCTAAAGCAAAGATAGGATCACCCTTCCGCCGGTAACATGCTTCTAAATCACCGAGAACAACAGATAATTCAACAGTCTGAGACGAGCAGAGCTCGGCGCATTCCGAGCCCTCTTCAGAGACAACGGCAGTGGTAGAGCCGGCACAAACGGCTGGACAAATACTGCATACTCCTACCTGGGCTGCCTCATGATGTCCGGCATGCGTCAACTCAGCAACAGCAACCGAACGTACACACACGGCAGAACACGGAACGCAAATGATGAAACGGACCTGGAGACAGGCAGACCGCTTGGGACAGTACCCACTTCGTGACGTCAGCTCTGGCATGACGTGGCGAGGCGGTGCCGAAGCGAGGAAACGGAATCAGTCGCAGCTGATGCAAGCCGCACAGACTGTGTCCGGAATCAGAGGTGACCGGCGGGCCGACCGCGGATTACGGCTGTTTCGGCCACCTGCGTTTTCTGTGGCCCACTTGTGCCGCACAGCGCGCGCGGGCAACGAACGAGGGCTAATAACGCCGCACGCCCACTGTGAAAACCTCGTGGCCTGGTGTAACGCAAATCACGGAGGTTCCGGCCAGCCTCCAAGGCACACGTATTCACTCGTGGCTTTCATCGCAATCCGGAATAGCTTATACCGAGGCGGGTCGCCAAGGGATGTGTATTATCAGCGCGCTCCGCCTGCTCAGATTGTTGCCATGAAGTCGGCTGGCGGAGACCGCAGGCCTTCCGGCGCGGGACACGCCGAGACTTCCCAGGCCTCCCGGTACTGAGCCAAGTCTCGAGCGCGGCCACGCCTCCACCCCAGGCTCGACGCTGAGAAGCTCACCCACGCGCGCGCGTGCTGGCAGACGAGAATATCCACACGAAATGTCAGAAGTCCGAC